GGGGAGCCGAGGGACTTCGGGGCGGGTGGCTGGAAGCCAGCGCGTGCTGGCTCCTCAGCTTCGCCCTGCCACAGGCTCCGCTGCCTGGCCCCGGCACGACACCTCCGCGCGCTGTACCCCCGTTTCCTGCCGGATGGCGTAGAGAGCCGTGTGCCCGTTCCTTGCGGGAGCGGGCAGCGACCCAGTCAGCGAGCGGGCAGATCTTTCTTGATCTCAGCTGAGAGGACAGTTCTCTGGTCGTCCAGCGCTGTCGAGAGCCCGGCCTTTGTCCTGTAGCGGAGCAGCTGAAGGTGCTGCGCATCAGGCTTCCCGCGGGCAGGCTACTGCGAGCTGTTAGAGGCGCCGGGAGGCAGCCGTACCGGTGTTGGGCCGCGGAGTGGAAACCGCACGTCTACAGCTGTTGTTCGGCTGGAAAACCAGGAGGGGGGACGGGAGATACGCTCTTGCATAAGCCCGGCCTTGTGGCTGGAGACATGTCTGAACTCAGGGCGGGAGAGAGGACAAAAAGTTCCCGCTTTTGGGGCAATGTGGAAGCAAGGCTGCTGAGGTGAGAAGGCAGAGGTATTGCTAGGGCGTCGCAGCTGCTGCGAGCACGGGACTGAGCGCTGAACGCTGCAGCCCTCACAGCATCTCACTTTGCCGATGCTGCTGCCTTGCATGTCTCTGTGTTTCTCTGCGCTCTCTGTATGTATGGGTAGGGCAACAGAAATCTATGCATGCTGCTCTCTGCACACTCAGCAAGTGTAATGTGGAAAATTGCCTCTGTTTGGGATTGTATATTGGGGAGAATTACCTCTGTCTGGGGTCTGAGAGCCTGCTACTAGGCTGCTAGAGCTGTGCACGGGTGGGCTGACAAAGCTTTTCTTGGTGGCTGGTGTAAGAGCATTGAGGGCTGACTTTCGGCAGCTGCGCTGTGACTTGTGCTCTCCAATTCCTGCTTCTCTGTGCTGGGTTCAACGCTGGGCACAGTGCAGCTTTGATTTGCCTGCTAGTACATTAATGGCTTTGGAATTGTCCTCGTTAGAGATATTTGATACGTCCTGTGTTTTCTCCTACCATGCCAGTAACACATCTTGCATCCACGCGTACTTGCTTCCAAGAGTGCACAGCTATTACTTGCTGCTGTTTAGATTAGACTTACATACAGCACGCTCTTGTGCCATCTCCGCTGGTGTAGAGTCTGGATGTATGGAGACCGAAGGGTAGCAGGTAGCTTTCCCATGGTGTTCGGGTGGACTCTCTGTTTGCTCTTCTGCACTCCACTGCATTAGGGTTACGTTCCTCAGAAGCTAGTACTGTTATATACAGAACTACGGAGTTCAGTTGTGCACTGTTTTCACAGTGAACATTACCTTTAATATCTGCAACAGAAGTGATTGCATCACTAGTTTTGGTCTCAGGGGAGTCTGTCTGACAAGCGTGCTACCAGCGGGCATGAGGTTGAGGTATGGTATCTGATACGCCTTAGAGAGAGGAGGTCTGGGACCAGTTTACCTCCTTTACATGCAATACATTAGCTATCAGAGCAACTATTGGATGGGAGTCACCAAGAGCAGCAAGCAGAACCACAAGAAGATAAAGGGACTGAAAGATACAAGGCAAATGACAGTGATGATGTCTCCACCTTGCGATGGAAAACTTGTCTGCCTTATGATGAACACCACCGTTCACCATCGTTGGGACTTCTCTGTCTACCTAGCCTGCTGTGTATCTGGAGGGCCCAGAAATGCCATGCAGAGCACTGGTGAATGACGAGGATGATCGGAGAGAGCGTCAGCTCCAAGAACTGGGTGAGCCAGCAGAATAAGGAGTCAGGCTGAGAGATAGCAGGCACGTTACTGAGACTTCTTCACAGGGACTGAAATGGTTTGGGAGGAGAGGAATAAAAGGGATCGCAGGTATGCAGCTTTTTATGCAGTTGTCTGCAACTGGGGTCTGATTTGCCAGGCTTTGGGGCTGGGGAACTGCTTTTTGGAATCACAAAAATACCACTGTGAATGCCTAATTGGACACATTCATGGAAGGATTGTGCCTACTTCCTTGCTTGACCGCTCCACGTTATCTTCCTTCTCAGATTCACTTGGGCAACAGCTGCAGAGCTCTCCCTGGCTTGCTCAGTGCCACCCCTTGTAATGTCCCAGGCTTGGCATGCCCCTCATCTAACCTCGCTCTCACAACAACATGGTTTGCTGTCCCCAATTAGTACAGAAGCACTTTGTTTGGCGTGCAGAGTGACTGGCTGGGAAGTTGTATGGTTACAAGTCAAATGGTTTGAAATGGAAGGTGAAGTGGGAGGAAATTTAAAATTATACAGAAACAGCATAAAAGTTACTGTTATCGCAAAAGTCTCATTCTGCACAATGGCCAGGGCTTCTACAATTCTGACTGTAGCCGTTTCCCCTTTGGCAGGGCTGCAGCACATAAGTGGCTCTTAATAATTTCATTTTGCTTGGCCACATGGGCCATGAAAAACACCTTCACCCAACAAAGCGATTACAAATAAAACTGCGATACTGGGATATACTTATTGCATTGCCCACTCCTTATTGAATTGGAAAATACAATGCAGTTCTCTTGTTCATGTGGAGAAATCTTCATTAGTTCAATTTGGTCTTCATTTTTTCCCAGTCTTGAAAGTATAACATCTCTCTGAGCAAATCATCTGATCTTGCACTCAAGCCCATCCATTGCTGCGCTCTCACTCCATCAGTTGTGAGCTAGTCCACTGTTCTCGTGCTTGCCAAAAGTTCTGCTGCAGGTTTTAGGGTTTCTTTTTCCCCTTCTCTCCCTGCTGTCCCATGAGCTGCTTGTCTTTCTATGGCTTGTACCCTTTGCAAGCGATGCTTATTTGAGAAGTCTTGAAAACAGCCTTTGCTAGTCAAATTAATTACCACTTCCTAGCTATTTATCATGTCCCAATATCCCATTAATCCTGCATTTCCTTCCCTCGACCTCTGATACACACATACCCTATGCTCTTCAGTGTTCCTTAAATTCTGCTGTCTTTAATATCCCCACCTTGAGGAGAAAGTACCTCGCAAGAAGTAGCACACAGCATTCCAAACTAAGCAGAAATTGTTACTTGCATCACAATCCTTCATTCTTAAAGTGCTCTGTGGGCTGTGGTTATTAACTCTTTCAATTGTTGTTTTTCATTTCAGTAACCACTACAGCAGTGTGGACAACCCAGAATAGCGATGGGGCAGGTGGACTAGATTCACAGTGGTGGAAAGACTTGCAAATTTCAGGTCCAGGAAAGGAACACAGAGAAGACCTACATGAACAGGGACTTTAAACTGATGTGGGGAGAAAGTGGCTCATCTCTGAGAGACCTTTCCGTTTAGGAAGAAAGACAGGGGAATGATGCAGAGTTTCTTTTGATTTTGTTTTGTGGGTTTTCAGGTGGGGGTTGTTTGTTTATTTGTTTATTTTCCAGAACACCTGAGAGTTGTCCTGCATTCATACAGTTCAAGAAGGGAAGGGCTCAGGAAAAATGATTTCTGGCTGCCAAGCTGATACACCACCAGACCCTAGCAGTCATGACTGCCCCTGTTGCACAGTTCCACAGGGCTGCCCCTACTTTTACAGCTGCTCTCCTGGCATCCCACTCATTTACAAGACTGTGGAGAGGAGAACTGGAACACAGAGCAGAGGCATTTGTATGACCTTTCACTGTCCTACATCTCTAGCTGTTTGTAAAACAAATACAGTCACTTGTTTTGGTGTTGCAGTCAGCCTGCAGCCCTTTTTGTATTTAATAAAGAAACTTCTGGAGAAGAGTCTGTGCATTCAATATTGAGCATAATGTTCTTTACTGATAGTGGTGATCTTAAAGCTATTTCCTCTCTTATTCCATTCCAAATGAATATAACTGTAATTGAACGGGATGAGGGGTAAGTGTTCGTGTCTGAGCATAAGTGTGCAGAAACAATAAAGGCGTAACACTGTACCCATCAAACATTAAAGCAGTAAAGCTACATCAAAGTATGACTTAGTCCGTAAGTGGATGAACAGAACGCTCCTCCCTGGATTCTTTGGGAAACAATATTAGTTTAATACACAAGAAAATCCATATCAGCAAAAGATAGAGTTTTAAAAAGTTTTTTTCCCAATGCCATGATGCCTTTTAGATAGAGGCTAGTGGGGAACATACAAGATGTTGAGTGCCAACAGCAGTGGTTTGGTTAACAGTTTGCATTTCTAGCTGTAAGCCGATAGTTCTTTGCACTGTGCTGAATCAATTTTAACCTGGTTTTGCATGTGTTATACAGAAAGAGACTCGACAGACGTGATCACTCTGTTGGTTGTTGTGATTTACGTTAGTTTTCCTGATAGGAACAGAGTCCCCTCCTCTGTCATCTCTTACAAAGATCACAGCGTTTTAAAACCCTGACACTACAGACTGTCTGCACAGTCTCTGTCTCTGAGCAGGAACCTACCTGCTGTTATGCTCTGGGCTGCTGCTTAGGGGAGACGTAAGCCATCTGGAAGGGGAAAGGGGGAAGAAAACAAACACAAAACTGTGCTTCCACTAGCAGTTGCAGTGGTGTTTGGGAGTCCTGCTTTGTAACTCTGACACAGGCTGTCATGCCTGTCTTCTGCTGTAGAAGACATGCCTGTCTTCTACACGCTTGTCTTCTACTGTAGTTTTACATCTGTTCTGTGTATCACAGGTTTCCTCATTTCAGCATACTTTCCCCTTTTACTTGCAACGCTCGTTTTGTCTCGGGGCTCTTTTCCTGGTTGGTTGTGGAGACCTGCTTCTCAGAGAGACACTGTAATTCTGTGGTCTCTGCTGTTAATACACGACCTGTATCTCAGTCCCACCAACGTGGGGCTGTGGTGCAGACAAAAGCCGCGCTCCAGGTTATGAAAACCATTCAGTGTTGCTTGAATGGGTCCTGGCTGGAGCACGTGTGTCACAGCAATAACCGGGGCACCTGCTGCTTTCAGTGGCAGGTAAGATTTAGGGTGCTCCGCAGCACCTCTCTTCAGCCCATGTGGATTGTGTTCCCAAGCCCTCTACAGAAATCTTTCTCGCGTTTCTGAGAAAGAACGCTGAAGGCCTTCAAATGCTTTTGGAAACCTCCATGGGGATGCTGGGAACTCAACCTCTTCTCCCCCAGTCTCCGTGAAACTTCTGAAGGTCTTTGAAATCTGACAAAAGTTACTACTTTGTAGAGCAATGCCAGAACCTGTGAGGTAAGCACCAGAAAGGCAGTGTGAGTACGGGGCAAAGCTGGCTGAAACAGCAGAGCACGGGGGAAAGCACCGGTTGCTGTAACCAAACTGGTCCTCTCTCAAAGGGCCAAGAATGCAACTCCCTGCTTATATTGGTGCTAGTTGTGACCCTATACTGAAAGGTTCGATTTTGTTCTGAAAGCTGTGTTTTGACTTCTTTGTTACATGTGAAAAACATATGTCATCTTCCTTGGCATATGTGTATTTGTGCTTTGAGTAGTTCCTGAGAACTTACAAATTGGTTGATAAATGTAATTAAAAAGCTGGAACTTTGGGAACTTTAGCACTTTGTCCCAAATACTCCCAGCTCATCCACTGATAGAAGCAAGTCATGACTACCTCTGGAGGAAGGCCATCTGTTTTAATGTGAAAAATAATGTTTGACTTTTGCCGTTATTCTTTGGCACTGAAAGTTTTCCTTAGCAGAGATTGCTGCCATAAGTTTTCTTTCAGAGAAGCTCAAATAATTGCCTTCTTCCAATGTGTTTGGCATCTCCTGTTCTGCTGTTGAGTTGAGATATATCAGTGATCAGTGTCTGCTGTTGGCAACAAAGCAGACCGCAAGCTCTCCTCCGAAAGCATCTCAGGTGTCTGGGCTCACTCCCTTACAGTTTTCCCTTTCGAGCATGTATGGTGTCACCCAGAGTGATGGTGGCCAGGATAAGGCAGGCTGGTGAAGCAAGTTACCCATGACGCGAGCGGGAGAGCGCCAGCCCCGAGACGCCTCCCCGCAGGGCAGCTTGTCCGCGGCCCGCGGGGGCAGGAGGCCGTTGGGGGCGGGCTGGGGACAGCCTCTGGGCTGCGGCGGGAGGAGGTGCCAGGCCTTTGGGAAGAGACCAGAACATTTTCATGTCTGTCTCTCTTGAAGGAGAAATATACGTGATGAAAAAGAATACCAATAAACGGCAATCCCGAATATCTTGCCTGCGAATGTCCAGGCCTACCTGTTGAAACATTTAGTCAGGAGACTGGGTGAGAGGAAGAGACCAGCGGGCTCGGCAGAGCGGAGGGGGAGCTGGATGCTGAAGGAAGGCTGCTTGCCCTGTGGAGGAGGCCGGGGGAGCAGGCTGTGCGTGGCCGCAGCCCCAGGCCGTGCCGGCAAAGCTCCTCCTCCGTAAGCTGGTCAGGCTGTGCCAGGGTTTGTGCTCTTCCGCTGCGCTCCAGCTGCTCCTGATCCGTACCCAGCTTCTGGGCCGCCAGCGTGGACCACCGGACAGAGCCCAGTCCATTAAGCTAATTAAAAATATATATAATTTTCTTTCTCCAAATAGCTAGGAAAAGCGTAGGATAGCATTTTATCTGGTTAATTATTTGCTGCCTATGGAACTTTTTAATAACTGCAGAAAAAAATTCACAAACAAATGTTACATGATGGCTATGTTAAGGATGAGACTGTTGCAGTGGGACTACACGGCAAGGAAACATGACAAATATTATAAGCAGGAAATGCCAACCTAGAATATTTAGAGTTTGGCTGAGGAGTTGTAATGATTTTAAGCTATGGAAGACCGCAGTTAAGGCAGGCACACAGACTTAGTCTGCCCTGTAGTTACACAGCAAGGAAGTACAGAGAGAAAAATAGAGCCTCTATTTAAACATTACTTTAACCTAGCTTGGGAATCACAAAAGCACTAATATCGGTGCTTTCCCAAACCTTAATACGGTTGGGCTGCTTTCTGAATACCCTGGCCAGTACCGCGGTCTGCTGCAGTACAGCTGGCTGCCTGTTACAGCAGGGAAGGATTTCGAAGAGCCTTAGAGCACTGTGCTTGGCTTGGGACGTGGCCATCACCCCTGCGTGGCGCCCGCGCGCCTGTGCTGCAGTCCCACCGGCAGGCAGGGGGCCTGTGTGGGGCCTGGCAGGCTCCTGACACGTGATGACACCTCCTCATGGTACATAAGGGTATGCCGTGAGCAGCCTGATGCCAGACATTTTCACTAGCGAGACTGTTGGAGACCTGGGGATTGGCCTCGTGTCACAGGTGCGGGAGGTTGGTGTTACGGGACAGGCGGGCACAGAGGTTATCTGCGTGTTTTGGAAGAGGTGGCTTTAGAGGTTCTGCACAGCGCCCGTGAGCAACCCCATGCCTTTGGTGGTGGAAACAGTGGGATGGCATCAGTCTGACTTTTTGTCCTTGTGGCTGCCAGGGGAGCAAGTCTTCGCAGGGCTGGAGGAGCAAGCCCGCCAAGCCATGATGAAAAACGACTTTCCTGCAGCTCTTGGGGACCAGAGGCCAGCTATTCCTCAGCTGCAAGACCATGACTCCAGCAGCAGTGAGTTTTGCCCCTTGTAGCAGTGGTGAGGCAGTGGCCTGGGAGGACGTTGAGGAGGGGTGGGGCTGGGGGCAGCACAGCTTGGGGAGGTCTCTGAGGCCTGCCCCATCCACCTCCTCCTCTGGGCCAGCCCTCGGCTCTTGCATGGGCTTGGAGCAATTGCTGTATGTGTTCCAGGTGACAGTGACGATGAGGAAACCACACAGGATGAAGTTTCTTCCCATACGTCTGAGGAGGATGGCTCAATGGTGAAAGTGAAAAAAGAATTAGAGAATGCAGAACAACCTGTGGCTGGAACCCCACCGATGGGAGAACACAAGGCAAGTGTCCTGGCACCGCACTCTCTCTCTCCTCCCTGGGAGAGAGAAGGGCACTGTCTAAACACCCTCCTCTCCTCACCAAGATTTCTTATCTTCTCCTTCCCCCTCTCACCTCCTCCAAAGAGCCTCTCCAGGCAGGAGGAAATGGTATGAAGAGCTCTTGGGCTGCCAGCCACAGGAGATAGCAGGGACAAGCTGCCATTCTCCTGGCTGGCCGAGAAGCTGTCTCTGCAGAGTGTGCCCAGTTCCAGCTCCTTTCTCTGGCTGACTTCCCCTTCCCTCCTACGACAGAGCAGGTCTTATCTACCAGACCCACTGGGCTGGCAAGAGCTTAGGTGCAAGTAGAGGCCATGAGGCCTCTGTTTTTGTTTTTCTTCCCTGAGACCACAGGAGTTTTGCTCAGAGGTTGCAGAAAGGAAATTTTGGACTGTCTTCCTTATTGCCAGAGCAGCCAACCAGCCTCAGCGGGACTGGGCATCGCACCTGGTCTGTGCAAGACCTGTGCGCAGCGCTGAGTAGATGCTGAGGGAGGGTGGGGTGGCTACATGAGGATCTGCGTGCCTTACACCAGAATGGCTTTCCCTCCCTTGTAGGCGCCTGAGGGTTTGAATGCTGACCCCATGCTGGGGCTGTCACAGTGCCCCCTCTGCCAGCTGGAGTGTGGAAGCAGAGAGCAGCTCATTGCTCATGTATACCAGGTAGGGGATGGTTCCAAACCATGGGATATCTCTGGCCCTAACCCCCTCAGCTGCCCCAAAATCCAGAAACAATCCTCAAGGGGCACAGGGTGACTTCCTTATGGTCTTTGCAGCCACAGAACTGAGCTTCTAGCTAGGATGTGATTGAAGGTTACAGCAGATAGTCCAGAGAGAGTCCTGGGGCAAGAAGCAGCAAGACACCTGTGCGGTGATCTGGAGAACGCAGCTCTTTCCCAAGGCAGTCACTGCAGCAGTTCCAGGCAGTTCCTTCAGATTAAACGCAGAAGCAATTTTGCATCACTCAGTGAGATAAGGAACACTCCTCATCGCTCAGTTCTTTATTCTGCCCCTTTATCACAGTTCCTACCCATGACAACGGCTGTTCTTTCTCTGAAATGACTCCAGTGTTGCAGGAAATCTGTGCTGGGATCTCACAGGTTTTGTTGTCAGGGCTCTCTTCATAGCACATCAAAGTCCGTAAAAGGAGGAATGAAGCAATACTGAACTGGTCACCTGTCACTAGCTCCAGCTACTGTTATCGTGAGCGCTTCCTCATCGGCATCCTGCCCCCTGTTAGTCCAGTCATGCTTTGTCCAGCAAAAGCAGCTCCTCAGAGCTGCACTCAGGAGCAGCACTCCTGAAAACAAGGGCCAGTTCTTCTGATCCAAGTGTTTTGGCCCTGTTTCTCTTGTACTAGGGTGGAGCTGTAGGAAAGGTTTCCTCCTTGCTGTTTAATCTGTGACGCCCCAAATGTCTTGCGCTTGGACAAGGAGCTCCCAGGCAAAGGTTTTAGTGGTCAAATGGTCCTATTTCAAGAGGCTGAACTAAGTGGTTTGCTGTTGAGCGCGCCTCAGGCTGGGCAGGGGGCTGGACAATTTTCACTAACAACCTAATGGTTGCTTTGCAGCACACTGCAGCTGTGGTGAGCGCCAAGAGCTACATGTGTCCTGTATGCGGCAGAGCCCTCAGCTCACCCGGATCTCTTGGGCGACATCTCCTGATCCACTCAGAGGACCAGCTGTCCAACTGCGCAGTGTGCGGAGCACGCTTCACCAGCCACGCCACATTCAACAGGTCAGGGTCACCCTGGCTGGTGAGTGGGCTAGGGCACCCATGGTAAAGATTAAGCGAGTTGCTTTAAATGATGCGGGAATCATGTCTCTGGCCCTCCTAATGCCTGGAGAGCTGTGAACACCCCCAGCAAGCAACAGTCCCTCAAGCCCTTCCTGCCTACCGTTCCACATCACCTGCTAAGGGCTAGACCTCCCTAAGCCATGCTGCTAAAACGTTCCTACCGGTTCCTTAGGTCTGCGAAGAACTAGAACTGTGCAATGAGCACTGGCGTCTCCAGCTGCTGGAGAACAACCATTGCTTCCCTTGCCCAGCAGTCCATCAGGCTAGGTCGGCGCTGGCCAGTGTTTTTGAGTCCGCCTAGCAGGTTTCTTATTTCCAGGGCAGGACTAGAGGCAGAAACCAAAACGTTCCTAGTTTGCGTACTGCCTGGTGGAAGTTTAGCCACTGGCTAGTGGAACAGGGCTGAAGAGAGAAACCCAGCGATGATGGGGAGGAGCAGCTTGCTGGAAAATTCCTGCCTTTGCTCTCTCCCAACCCAGACACTGTGCTGGGCTCACTAACCCCCTTCCTACTCCTGTATATGATGTTGCTTGGTTTTAGCTATGCAGACACGTCTTGGCAGGAGCAGGGGCACTGTTCCTTGCATCCCCTAGGCAGAGCATGAGCTGGGGACTCTTTGTCAGCACCAGGTCTCTGATTCGCTGCTCTTTTGCTTTCCAGCGAGAAGCTGCCAGAGGTGCTCAGTGCAGAACACCTGCCCCCACCGCAGAGTGAAGGCCCCTCCAGTGTTGAGGGGAAGGACATTGCTTTTCATGCCCCTGTGTATCCTGCAGGCATCCTGCTAGTGTGCAACAACTGTGCTGCTTATCGTAAGCTGCTGGAGGCACAGACACCTGGTGTGCGAAAGTGGGCGCTTCGTCGGCAGAACGAGCCCCTGGAAGTGCGGCTGCAGCGTTTGGAGCGGGAGCGCACAGCCAAGAAGAGCCGGAGGGACAACGAGACACCTGAGGAACGGGAAGTGAGACGTATGCGGGATCGAGAGGCTAAGCGGCTGCAGCGAATGCAAGAGACAGATGAACAGAGGGCTCGACGGCTGCAGAGGGACCGAGAAGCCATGCGGCTGAAACGCGCCAACGAGACCCCGGAGAAGCGGCAGGCCCGGCTCATCCGGGAGCGTGAGGCCAAGAGGCTCAAGCGGCGCCTGGAGAAAATGGACATGATGCTCCGGGCACAGTTTGGCCAGGACCCCTCTGCCATGGCAGCTTTAGCAGCTGAAATGAACTTCTTCCAGCTGCCAGTGAGCAACGTTGAGCTGGAGAGCCAGCTGCTGGGCAAAATGGCCTTTGAGGAGCAGAACAACAGTGGACTGCATTGAGCTGCAGGTCAAGGACTGTGCCACCTCTGCGGCACCTGTCACAGGGGCACTAGCAGGCTTCTCTACTCAGTAGCTGCTGTGGGTGCCCTGGCTGACTCTCCCAGGCCCAGCCTCCCTCATACGGCCTTGTTTTCTCCTGGACATGGGAGGTGAACAGAGCTGAGAGATGTCTGCCAAAGTAGCCCTGGGGGGAGGCAGGCAGATCCTGTGGAGGCAAGCTGCTTTGGGGGGGGGAGGGTGTGACACCACAGCCTGTGACTAGAGGGGAAAATAAATTAATTTTCACATTTATTTAGTCCCCTTCCTTGCCTTTTGCTTCATCCTGAGCTTGGACCCTTGCACCATAGTTGGGGTTGGGCTGCTGTAGTTCTGCTGTAGGCAGCAAGCCTACCTTACTGAAAAAAGAGCTTCTTTACTGCAGCATAACTTATGGAGCTGAGGACTTTGCCAGTCCTCCGGGAATAAATCTCTCGCTCTTGTGGCAATAAAAAGGAAGCAAAGGAGGACTTAATCTCCCTGGAAATGGCTGTGTACACCCTCTCTCTTAACTCTGTTGTTATGTGCTTATTTGCAGTAGCATCCATGGGAAAACTAAGAGGAAATTGAGTTCCTGTTCTAAGATACGCCATGTAAAAACTAACAGAAAAGCTGCCTGAGGTAAGCGCACAGGGAACAGAAGTTTGCTGGTCTACTCATGAGTTAATTTTTCACTTAAATAGTATTTCAAGTTTGCAGATGAAAAAGTTGATTGAATGGCAAACCATTAGGACAGATCAGTTCTCTCATACTGCATGGATTTCTTAGTAAGCTGAGCTTGTTCAACCATTTTAATACAGCCAAATGCAAAGATGCTCACCTGGAACCACTGGTCACACTCAAAGAACTCATTCCCATATTAAAGTCCTCTGTGACCAACAATGACTTTCAGTGGTCACTGTGAACAACGAGCTCGTAGTGGGGAACCATTAGTAAACAGAACAGCACAGGCAGAAAGAGAAAGCTGCTCACACTTCCACACGCCGCAGCAAAACCAATGGGACAAAGGCAGACAACTGGTGAGCCGGGGAGGAGCTATGGAAAGGTACGATAATTGTCTGCAAAAATGTACGTGATGGTAAGGAATTCAAGCCTCCTTTACTTTATTCAAGATGTAGCCAAAGGGAATGTCATCATAGCCCATATCTAAATGACAAGGTGCCCGATGTTACAGAAATTATAAAACTATGTAAAGTTAAATCTAGGCAGGTTCAAATTGAAGAAGGCAAAACATTAGCAGCAAAAGGGCTCACGGGGGGCAGAAGGGTGGTACATTCTCCCCTCTTTGGCTTCTCTAAGAATAAGGATCTAAAATGTATGCTTTAGCGCTGTGGTTCCCAAACCGCAGCCTACCGAAAACTGATGTGCTACACACCTGTGTGTTGTAGCCTGAAGAACCCTTCTGCTTCCATAGCATTTCCACTTAAGGTCTGCAGTACAGTCACATGGTGGTCTAAATACACTGAAAACCCCTGTTGTCTCTCTGATGACTGTTTCTCTGCATCGAGTCAGAAACGGTGACCACAAGACACCTCCGTGAGACCAAAAGAGGAAAGTTAAAACAAAGCAAAACAAAACAAGGTTTCAGCTACACTACTTAAAGATTTAATCAGAAACTTGATTTTTTCCCTTCTGTTTGTCAGTTTGAAAAAAAAAAAAGTTTTATAGAAGTCCCTGAAATGCTGTACTTAGTGTGTACAATAGTTGCCTTCAAAGTGCACAGTGTTGCATTTTTTCTGAAAGTTAACTAACCTAATAGACAGCCTTGTGGGTACTTGCTACAAAAAGCATTTCATCTTTTGAACCCCACAGGTTCCTCCAAACGCCACTGTAACATCCTTGTTTCCTCACCTGACAGAAATTGTTTTCACAAATCATTCATCACATAGAGCTGGCTTCCAGCAGCCACCCCTGCCCCTCTCAGCCTGGGAAAAGGTATCAGATCTTGCAAGGAGCCGTCCGGTCCCACGCTACCTTGTTCATATCTTCCTATGTTCTTTGAACTGATCTCTCACTTTTATTCTTACTTCTGTCCATTTTCATACTTCAACCGCTAAAGTTTGCTCTTTGCAATATTTGCTGTTACCCCATGTGTTTTGCTTGTCCAGTAGACATGTGGCTACACTATGCAAATTGTGTCTAAAATTTTCCCTGCGGCCTCACTGGGTAGCTGATGATTATTCCAAGCTTCACTTACTGATGAAACCACGGTATGAAAGGGGTTCATGAAAGAGCACATACAATCAGAAGCATTTGAGTACAGATATGGCTCATAACCCATCTGTCAGGCAGCCTTTACCAAATGCACGTCACAGTCTCCAGATCACTCTGCGTAAGACCAGAAAACCCACATCCAAATGATCACTGATGCCACAGACAAGCAAAAAGTCTCAAACGCCAAAGGAAAAGCTATTGGTTTATATATAGATATATACTGTGTTTACAGAGTCAACAAGTTAAATGCAATATTCATAAGAGCATTAACAATAAAAATACAATCTGTGTGTAGCCAAGTACAGACTTAAAATGGTAAAACAGGAAAAAGGATCTCACCAAAAGTACAAATATACAGTACAAATTGATTTATTTAAAACAGTTACAAAAAAAGCACAACAAAATAGAGATTATCCTTAGAATTATTAATGCTTTGTTAAAGATCAGGTAGGAAGAAAGGGGCAGGAACAAGGTCGGAGGGGAGCACCTGACTAGTTCTAAGGCTTTAGATACAATGCAGTTGGTTACATGTTAATACAGCCATTACATAACTGGGATTATAGTTGAGGGATCAGCACTTATCTACAAAGACCTCCTTGCCTCAGGGCAGCCCAGCCAGTTCCCCCAACACGACACGTCTGTTTCCCTGCTTTGTGTGGGCAGACCCTCCCCTGGCTCTAAGGTGCCATGAACGTGGAAAGCAACTCGCGTGTGCCTGGGTGCGTTTGCAGGGCGGTGCGGCAGCAGCCTAGAAGGACGTTAGGGGCAAGTTCTGTCCCCCGTGGACAGATATGAAGGCCGTGAAGGGGCCTTGACCATCAGCATGTTAAGCTACACATGGAACACACCCTGGGCCAAACTCTGTGCAAGAATGTGCATTCGTAGCCATCTTAGCAGCTTCCGCAAAGTTTCAGGCCCTAGGACAGACTGAAAGACAAAGAGCAGTTGTGAGCGATGCTAGGGAAAGGCACATGTACTGCTGTGGGCAGGAACTAGCATCTGGGCTAATCATTCATTTAAAACACTTTCTGAGTAACAAGGATTATTAGTTCTCTACTGGGGAAAGTGACTTCAAGTCGGGGGGGGGGACGGG